ACTCCAAGCCCTCCCTTACCAGGATATTGCAACTCAGGAAAAAGACAAACCTATCCCCCCACTGCCATAGCTGATCTCTTCTCACTACCCAGACTAACCCCACCCCATAAGTTGTCAAGGTAGCCCCCCCTGGTTCACCATTGGCTTGCTTTCCTCCCTCAGCAAACACCAGATCTCTCTAAAAGGCCTCCCACCCCTGCCAATTGCAGGTTACAGGGCTATGCCCCAGCTCCAGCCAACGTTGTTCTGGCATCGGCAATCCAGGAGCACAGAACAAAGCAACTTCGGCAGTTATCAGTCTAGGTTCGACAATCCCTGAATTCCTATATCCTAAATAAAGAAGAAGACCAGGTGCTGCCAAGATTGTAAAGCAGCGGATGGCTGGTTTTGAAGTATTGAACTGTATCGAAATTATCAGATCTTTTTTGACACATTGAGGTTATTAGATCATGAAAAGGATACGCTTCCATTGATCACAGCTCAAACCAATCCATACCCACTGTACCTTGTCTCATCCTGCCTCCACCGAGGAAAAATCCCTCGGCCCCAACATAGAACAGATCCCCTCCCCTCCCTCCACCTCATCCACGAAGGCAACCAATCCCCTCCTAGAGGCTGCCTTTGCCCACCCCTTGTCCCTGTCTGCCCCCGCTGGGGTTGAAGGCGACCAACTCTCCAACCCCGGCCCCGGACTCAGACAATCCCCAATCTGCCCTACTCCCAATAGGGCTACTGCCTCCCTGTAGAATAAGGCTCCCCTATAACAGACCCCTGGGTTAATTTTTCGGGGACAGCTAACTAGTAGTCTATACCCACAACTGGCCAGCCCTATCTCTCCTTCCCCTAGCTTACCCAAGGCCAGGCGGAGCCCAGGCTGACAGTCCTACCATCCTTCCCCTGGCTTGTCCCCTAACTTAGGCCAGACGGATCTCAGACCTGCTGTGGGTAACTAACGTATGTCTGTACCCTGGAGTCTCAAACCCCCCCTGCCTACCAAAGTTCCAGCCATAACCTTCGAAGTCCTATCCCCACTGAAGCGTCTGCAAAATTCAATGTTCAAAATCCCCAATTAGGAAAAAAAACGCATGAAAAAACGAAATAAAGAAAATTCACCTTACCCCAATCAGGGGGAACAGGCAGGCCAAAACCTAGTGGTGAAATTACTAAACAATCCCAACATGAAAACGTTATGTCTGAAATTACTACTACAAATAGTAGTAATCAAGAAGTAAGTAATCAAGAAGTAGGTAATCGGGATATAGGTAATCAAGATATAGGCAATCTAGATGTAGGTAATCAAGATATAGCTAATCAGGATGTAAATATTAATGACTATTGGATAATTGGGTAGCCAGAAACGGTACCCTGAGACTAAAAGGTTTTCAGATGATATTAATATTGATGATGGTAGTGATGATGATGGAAATGTTATAGATGACTATTTAAGTGAAACAGTAGCCTAAAGATAGTGGTGGCGATCAACTTCGCCTATAGATGATAGCTGTGAGGATGATAGTGTTGATGATCGTGATACAACAGATGATAGCTATGAGGATAATAGTGCTGATGGTCGTGATACTACAGATGGTGAAAATCACTTTAGTAATGACTAAACACGCATAGATATGTAATGATGATGAGGATGTCAACTAATTATCCATTATGTTGATGACGATCGCCTTGCCGCAAGTGATGATGACTAGTAATCTTGATGACTACTTGCTGATAGTGTTGACCAACTCGAGCTTGATGACGGACCGCGCTCCATGCTGTGATAACTCCGATCTGCAAGCTTGGCGTACTTCAGACTATGAATTACACACTTCCATGTCACCTTGGGCTATCTCCACTGCGATCTCCCTCAAGCGCCTTGTTGCCACTTCACCTTGCTACGTGGCGGCGCGGGAATCTTGCGTGGACCCCGTGGAACGGGGCGGTCCCCTGGACACGTCAACCAGTGACGTGGCGAAGACCAGGACCTAGGCTCACGGCGCGTGTGCTAGGCGCAGTCCCCTGCCCCCGTCGTCCTCATTGTCCGATACACTCGAATTTCATGGTGCGCCCTAAATCTTCGATATCTCATGATCCACTGGGCCATTTGATCTGAAATTTGGACCACCTCAGCTCCTCAACATAGACCACCGGTGGTCCAATTTTCAGCTCAGGGCGCGCGCCCAATCGCGCGCAATCGTTGAGCGCGCGCGCGCTATTTTCCTTGCTGCGTGCAGTTTTCCAGCGCACGCGGCTCCTCTCCGTGGCGGTAACCTTGATTGATGATTGATAATGCCGGGTGGTAACTGACTATACTGCACCCTAAATTTGTAGAATTGGTTATTCACTTCATCTCCTTTACTTTTATACGAGGTGAGCTAGTGGTCATGTTAAATTTATCGGACGGATGTTAGTTCGTGTGAGGCTTAAAACTCCATTAGCTATACCTTTTTAAATGAGCAGACCGCTGCAGACGTGTAGTTATGCAAGGGGCTTAAACCTCGCACGACGTAACATCCGTCTGATAGTTCACTTCATACTAGTTTATAGGACCTTTTTAATTGAGCAGGCGTGTAGCATTTATGGCTCTTAGTTTTTTTTTTAGAACGAGAGTGAACGAATGCGAGGGACTCTCCTTCTTTCTCTCTCTGTCTCTTGCGTGCTGGCACTTAACTTGAAGTGTGCACTCGTCCACTCGCGTTCTCAAAAAAAAATATAGGACCCTTAGCATTGTGCTCCTTACAGCCTTGCAGTCAGCCAATTATTTGCACCTCCCTTTGGTTGGATGGCATATTGGTTGACCACGGGCACGCGGAACACAGCTCCAAGGGTCCCATTTTGCATTTTGTTTTTCGGAGAGAGAGAGAGAGAGAGAGAGAGAGAGAGAGAGAGAGAGAGAGAGAGAGAGAGAGAGAGAGAGAGAGTTGTGGGGAAATATAGACACATCAGAAGCCTAAAAAGGCGCTTCGAGAGGTTGATCAAAGGGAAGGGAAGAAGAATGCAAGGATGGATGTGTGAAAAGAAACTCAGTAGGGGATGGACTGCTCAATGACAAGGATAGGTAACAGACCAGTTGGGAGATGGCTGAACAAGGTATGCGCAAAATGGGAGGATTAGCTGCGTGGCACGTGCAGAACTACAAAACGACGATGCCATCGCCGTGTCTGCCTTGAGGATAACCTGGATGAGCAGACCAAGTGCTACCAGCAAGTCTGCTCTGGAATAAAGTGACTGAGTAGAGCAGGCCAGCTGAACATCTGCAGCTGGATATTTAATATCTGATAACATCTCATCCAAAAGTACAAATCATATAACTGCGTGTTACATTGAGGCATGACCTCGCAAATTCCTTCCCCCCCCCCCACACACAAAAAAAAAAAAAAAAACCCTTGCAAGCTTTCCAATTGGGAGCCGCAAGGTGAGCAAAAGGAGTCCACAATCTGAATCCCCCTGTTCTGAGAGCTTCCACCTCAGCAAGCAAAAAACTGAAAAACCCTGAAATGTATTTCAGTATTTCCTTCCCAAATGAATCTTAACTGGCCAGGGCTTATCCATGATCACGATGGTTGATTAAACCACTAGTACCTCCGCCAGTGTTGGGAACATAGGGAAAAGTGGCAGTTTTCCCAAACTCCTAAAGATTCGGAGGTCGGGCCCGACGACGACTGCCATTGATAAATCTGATCGGCGGTTGTCACTTCGTTTCAGCCTCCGAAAAAGTCAGAGGACCAACCGAGGCCCGCTATTTTCCCACGCGGCAAAGGTCCAGGGCACCTGGTCAAGAGGAGCAATACTCCGCTTCCCTCCTCATAAAGTGATGTTAGAGCTGATCGATCTATGTGTCTATATATTGGCACATACCTATGTACTAAAAGAGCATACTTTACGATAACAAACGATAAAAAAATACACAAGGCAAACATGAAGAGCACACTGAAAGCAATCATTTTTATCATTCTTATTTTAACTCCCCCTTCACTATGCCTCTCACGTACAAGGCTCGCCACGTTGATGAAGTTGAGAGCGAACTGCCCGCATCCCCGAATGCCATCACTGCCCTGTATATCTATATCTATATCTATATCTATATCAATATCAATATCAATATCAATATCTATATATCTATACATATATTGTATAATTGTCACATATCTATCAAACTTAAAGAGTGCACTTTGCGAAGCAAACGATAAAAAACATTGTTTCCTTGTGAAAGCCATAAGCTGGGAACGATGGCCGAGGGTTAACGATTAGCATGAGATGGGGACCACCACCAGCAACACCATGTGCTCACCAGATGTGTATGATGTGTATGTAACAAAAAAGACCAACCAGATGTGAAGGCACGTCTTTCCAATTTGGATAGCAATGCGAAGATCCTCTTTTCTGGGAAGCTGCAGTGGAAGCACCCTCTTTCCCGATTTGGAAAGCTACACATATGTCTCTTCGAAAATTTCCACGATAAATGGAGACTACCAGCCAGAGAAACACTTAAACCCTAAACTGCTAATTTAGTGGCAGCAAGCAGTAAAATTCAGGCCCACAATTTCAATCAATTTCAATGTGCCAGGACTCCTTGCACTTCACTTTAGACTCCAAATTTAGACTCTAAAAGTTTTCTGTTCAGATTCCAGTCCAGGATGTACAAGGCCTCGCGTCGAAAGAATCATCGAACTAAGTACTGGTAATTATCATCAAGTCAAACATCGAAACAAAGTTTCAGGATCGAGCAGCGCTCTACGCCCCGATGACACGGAAACCCTGCGCAACCTTGTCCACTCCCAGCAGCAGTCCCGCACAAGACGAAGAACCGCTCCTGCTCGCACACCAAGCAGCAGTCCTGCAAAATATGAAGAGTCCATCCTGCTCGCACACCAAGATGCGGTCGTGGACAAGACGGCCAGTTCGTCCCTGCTCTCACACCAAGCAACAGTCCTGGACACGACGAGGAGCCGCTCCTCTTGCCTTCTACACATCTGCTGACACCAAAAATCTTCTGGCCCCTTGTCAATCACAAGGAACAGTCCTGGTCTCAAACAAAGAATCGGTCCTGCTCTCAAACAAAGAATCGGTCCTGTGGTCTCAACCCAGAATCGGTCCTGTGGTCTCAACCCAGAATAGGTCCTGTGGTCTCAAACCAAGAATCGGTCCTGTGGTCTCAGACCAAGAACCGGTCCTGGTCTCAAACCAAGAATCGGTCCTAGACCTGTCTCTTATACACATCTAGATGTGTACAAGCCCTCAGCCTATCCCCTCACCCTATGGATGTGCACTCACCCTATGGTACTTGCTGAGTCTGTCTGTCTCTTCTTTCTGCATTGAGTCTCTTATGTCCAGGTGATAGGACTCCGTGTATGAGGTCGTAGAGCTGCGTTGACCAAACCCACACGGGCTGAGTAAGGCTTAATTCCATGTCTGACGACTGACACGTCCCGGAGGACAAACCCTCCCATGGACCGGTACAGACCGGCGGGCTGAACAGTGTGGCATGGGTGGCCCAAAATCCGAGTTGTGGGCTGCACAACCAGTTGTCTAAGTGTTGAGAGGACTTGCTGATAGGGTCGTCCTGTTTGCGACCTTAAACAATTCCTGAGGAGTTATGGGGGATCTCCTTAAATGCCTCCTGATCAGCACTGAAGTCCTGTAGTGACAGCTTAGAAGGAGGTCCAGGCAAGTGACCATAGTTGAGAGGGCTATGAACCGGAGAGAAAGCCATGTGGGATTGACTGCAGGTGCAGGGCAGCTCCTTAATGACTTCCAACTCCTTCGCCATTCTGCTTGCTTCGTTCATTTTTCTTTTCTTCTCCCTTGTAAGACGCAACTTCCACTGTAGCTTTTTCTCCTCCTTTATCGTCTGGCGTCTCAAGGTGTCTTCTTCTGCCTCCAACTCCTTTATAACTGCTTCCTTCTCCTCCCTGGGAACATACAACATCGCTTCTTCTTCTTCCCCCAGAGACAAATTCGCCACCCACTCAAAACTTTCTTTTCTAACCATGAGTCCTCCTTCGTGCCACTGGGTTCCCCTTTTTCCTTGGTGCTTCTATTGATCAGGGACTCTTCCTTTTCTTCTCCCACTTCTATCTCTTCCTCGTCTACTGCCTTCAACTTCTCTTCCTCCTTCTGCAATCTCTCCATTTCCTCCTCCAACTTCTTCTTCTTTGTCGTCTGCCCCTTCAGTAAGGCCATCTTCTTGGCCTGCCTGATCAACTCCCTCTTAGCCTCTTTCTCCTTTCTCTCTTTAAGTACGGCGGCGGCTTGCTCTTTCTGAGCCTGGGTGTAAGGGATAGTACTCTTACCACTACGCAACTCAACCATGGTGAAAGATGTACCATCGAGGGTCCGTTCCACTCCTCACCACTTAGACTCTCAGCCCCTGACTAACTTAACTTACAACTGACTCTCTAAGGACCACAAAGCCTTACCCTTTGATCAAGCCAGGTTACCACGGCCAACGGAAGCTTTCGCCACCACTGTCCTTTACAATCCAGACCCAGGGAGCAGATGAAAGCACAGGCAGAGATACAGGGAAAACTAGATATTATTACAAGAAACATCGAACTCCTGGCTAGAGCCTGAGATGAGCAACATCAATTTGCTAGGGCCCAGGATATAGCACTACACTCCATTCACCTAGGTTTTAGAAACTTTGCACGCGAGATGATGCTGCACGTAGGTGCAAAAGTGAAAGCGAGAGTAAAGGGCACAAAGAATTTTGCACAAGCGCCATTGAAGGCGCAAAGCTGGCCACCTCAAAGGAGGAAGAAGTACGCCCCCGTAGGGAGCCCGTAAATATCAAATTCCCTGAACCCAATAGTGGGAAGAAGGAAGAAAACTTTGATAAATGGGAGGCGAATGTGAACATAGACGTTTATTTGTAGAAGATTGTAGCAGAGGAACAAGTCCTCATAGCTTTCCAAGCCCTCAAAGCCGAAGCGGTCAACTTCGCCTGATCGCTCGCTCGCGCTGCACAGTGTGAAGATAATATGGTAGCTTATTCTAAGATTACCCCTCTTCCTGAATTCTTTAGACTGTTTAGGGAACGATTTGGCGATGTCACTCGAGGTGTAAGGGCCTCGGACAAGCTGCAAACCATCCACTCGCGCCAATGGAGGAGTGCTAGGGCACTCAAGGGGGTTATGGACGAGCTGGTAGCCGTCCCAATGGAGTCACTGAGACCCAGTTGGCAGTTGGTCAATTTATTTTATCGTGCCATGCCTGAGCCTCTGCGCGGGCACTTCTTCGAGAAGAGTAGACAACCCACCATGACTTACGACACGTTGAGTAGAGAGGTGGTGCTGTTAGAAACACAATCCATGCCAGTGTCCACTTTCTGGAATAAGGACTTGGATAAGGGTAAAAAGTGGAAAGGTCGTACCATCTCTGGTCAGGGTAGGACCAAGGATCACTTAATCCTCACTTTAGATGAAGGTGGTATGGAGGAGGTCTCATATAGCCAGATTGAATGGGGCCTAGAGGAGGAGGACAGTAGCGGGAGTCAGGGGAGGACTTGCACTGCTGTCGTGGCTGGAGGGAAGCCGCGAGGAGGAGGAGGATAGGGCCAAGGGGGTCGGGCCTTGGGTGGTCGAGGATAGGGCGCTCAGGGGGGTGGCGGCAGAGGAAACCGCCAAGAGGGAGGTAGGGGTCAAGGTCCCCTGCCAAATCGTCCACGTTCTTATCCGTCGCCCCCAAGAAGGGGTGGATGGCACCCAGGTTTGCCACAAGGCAGACCATGGGAAGACTTGGGCTTGAAACAGTCAGTTTGGCAACGGCGTGTTGATCAGGATCAGTGCATTTATTGTGGTGACCCTGACCACATAATTAAACACTGTCCAAAGTATAGAGAAACCCGTTATGCGGCACAAGCAGCAAAAGGCAACCGACGGTAGGAGTCGCAACTGCTCTTACCCCTAGACCTTGTGGAGAAGAGTGCGCGTACCACATAGAACCTCCCAAACCACATGTGTCTATGGTAGAGGTTGTTGGCCAGTACCTAGACAACTGTCCAGAGACAACTTATGTTAAAGTCTCTCTAGTTACTTCCTTCAAAGGCGTGGCAGAAGAATTGAAGGAGAGGATGCCTGTCTGGGCCAAAATGAAGAAATATGTGAAAGGACAACTAGTGTTAGTAGATGTAGAGATTTTTAGAGGGCGAGTAGGGGCTCTTATAAACAGTGGGGCCGCTCGCAGTTATATTAGTAGGAAAGTGCTACAGAAGCTAAAGCTTAATTTGAAGGTCCAGAAATTGGAAGACCCTATAGTCAGTGTCCTCACAGACAATCGCACTATGCGAGTCGAGGATTACATAGAGGGAGTCATGGCATATTTTTGCCTAGAGAAGGATGGGAAAGTAGAGAGAGTTATCCATTCCCCGACTCTCCTCATAGAAGACAACCTCCCATTTGACATGATCATAGGAATGGACCGGGGAGAGGCAGCAGGGGCCACACTCCACTTGAAAGAGCATGAGTGTAGGCTCCCTAGCCTATCAGGCGAAGTCAAGACTGCTCACCTGTTTCATGTATCAGGAGTAGACAACACCCTGACACATTGTTGTTTCAGTGCCCCCGCAGCGGGCCCGCGTTCGCACGATTAGTGAAGAAAGAGCAATTAGAGGAACAGGTTTTCGTGTCCTATGTTAGGCTTGCCACTGAGCCTAAGTAAGAGAAAACTATAGATCCTGCTATTGCCAAGCTGTTGGAAGAGTATACAAACTTAGCTAAGCCGCCTACAAGAGTGGTGCAGCGGCCTATCCAACATCATATTGAGATAGAGTCTGGCAGTAAGACTCTTAAAGAAGCTATCTACAGAATGTCCCCAAGGGAGCTAGAGGAGCTGCGCAAGCAGATAGATGAGCTCCTCGAGAAGGGTTGGATGAGGCCTAGTTCATCTTCATTTGGAGCACCTGTTCTTTTTGTCCCCAAGAATGTGTATCGACTATAGGGGTCTTAATGCCATCACCGTGAAGAATGCAGAGCCGCTGTCCCGTATAGATGATCTGTTGGATCGGGTGCAGGGCTGCAAATATTTCTCAAAGATAGATTTGAAGTCTGATTATCATCAGATAGAGGTCCACCCTGATGGTTAGTACAAAACGGCATTCCGGACTAGGTATGGGCATTATGAGTTTATAGTTATGCCCTTTGGACTAACCAATGCGCCAACAACATTTTAGCGCTGTATGAATGATTTGTTTAGGCCGTGGTTAGATAGGTTTGTAGTCGTATACTTAGACAATATTTTAGTTCTTAGTAAGACCCTCCAGGAGCATGAGGACCATCTGAGGTAGGTCTTGGAAAAACTAAGAGAAGCTAACTTCAAGATTAACGCAAAGAAGTGCGAATGGGCCAAGACACAAGTTTTGTACTTGGGCCACGTCTTAGACGGAGACGACATAAAACCTGAAGACAGTAAGATAGCAGCGATTAGAGATTGGCCAACGCCCCGCACACTGACAGAGTTGTGGTCGTTCTTAGGCCTAGCCAATTATTATAGAAAAGTTGGTCAGAAACTTCTCCACCATCACTGCACCCCTTCGCAGGTTGCTGAAGAAATAAGCAATCTGGAAGTGGGACAAAGACTGTACCTTGGCCTGAAGAAGTTGAAGCGGGCTTTGATAGAGTATCCAGTCCTTAAGGTAGCCGATCCGCCCCTGCCCTTCGTCGTTACCACCGACGCGAGTCAGTATGGCATAGATGCTGTCTTACAGCAAGACGATGGCAATGGCTATAGACCTGTAGAGTTCATGTCTGCTAGGATGCCTTCAAAGAAGGTAGTGACATCAACCTATGAGAGGGAACCCAACGCCCTCACGCAAGCATTAGACCATTGGAAGCACTACTTGCTTGGGAGACACTTCAAAGTGTATTTAGACCACAAGACGTTGAGGTGGTTGAAAACACAGGCCAAGATGACACCTAAGCTTACTAGGTGGGCCACCCAGATAGACCAATATGACTTTGAGCTTAAGCCAGTCAGAGGGAAATACAATGTAGTCGCAAATACTCGAAGTCGGAGAGCCGATTACTTTGGAACAATAGTTCACTATCTGGACATAGGGAGATACCTGCAACAAAAAGTTAAAGAAGCATATGCGCAGGACCCTATGTATAGTGACCTCCTCAAGAAAGTTAAGGAGACCCCAAAATCTGAACCAAATTACCACACTACTGATGGGTTACTATTTGAGAAGACTAACGTAGTTGACCGTCTATGCATTCCTAACAGTGAGGAGATCCGTAGTTTGATCTTAGGGGAATGCCACAACACAAAGGGACACTTTGGTTGGCAAAAGACACTAGCCAATCTCATGCGCGCGTATATATGGCCCAGTTTGAAGGCCGACTGCATAGAGTATGTACGCAGTTGTAAAGTCTGTTAGAGAAATAAGACCATTACACGTGCTCCTCTAGGTCTTCTCAAACCTTTGCCTACTCCCGACAGACCAGGAGACTCTGTGTCCATTGGCTTTATGGACACAAGTGTCAAAAGTAGGCACGACAAGAGCCAAGTCATGGTTATAGTTGATAGATTTAGCAAGTATGCAATTTTCGTTCCTCTGCCTGCAGAGGCACGAACAAATTTAGTAATGCAGAAGTTCTTTGATCATTGGGTCAGTGAACATGGTATACCGCTGTCGATAGTTAGTGACAGAGACACCAGGTTCACCAGTTAGAACTGGCAGGAGATGATGAAAGTTTATGGTTCAAAGTTGTTAATGTCATCTGGCCGTCATCCTCAGACTGAACAGATGAACAAGATCTTGCAACAAGTTCTTAGAATGTACATTAGGCCCGATCAGATCAATTGGGATGAGATGCTCCCAAAGGTAGCCAGTGCATACAATAACAACGTGCACTTAGCCACGTGGCGCACTCCCAACAAACTGCACAAGTCCTTTAGACCGCGCATATCATTTGAGGGACTTAACCGGGATCAGATTCAGAGGGCCAGAGGCTACTGCCCGGTACGTGAGAGTTTGCCATACAACACGAGAAAGAGATAGCTACCGTTGTAGATAACCTCGGGAAGGCCCAACACAAAATGATAGAACAAGCTAATAAGCACCGTCACCCCTCACAGTTTCAAGTAGGCGACTTAGTCTGGGTCAAGTCCAAAGAGTTTGCTCCTGAGGAGAACATTTCGCAGAAGTTACTTCCTGCATACCGAGGACCGTGGCCAGTCTTAGAAGTCAAGGGCGGAGAGGATGGACCGTCCTACACAGTCGAGATTCCAGCGCACCTTCACACCTACCCGTTGTTTCATGGGTGAAAGTTGCTGCCTTGTACCACAAGCCAACAGTTCCCGTCACGAAGGTCCATGATCTCTTCGGACATGGATGAAAG